GAGAACGCTGACTTATCCTGCGGCTAACACGTGTTTTTAGAGGCAAAGTTTAGTTGCAGCTGAACGTCACAGATGGTGACGTTGTTTCGACAAAATATAAACAGTCATGAATTCATGGTATTTCGGTAGTTTTACATCGATCTTTTTGTCATTACTTTACCGAAATGACATATAGAACCCTTCAGTTCGTATAATTCTCAACGTAGACTGTAAAAGACCAACATAAATATAAATGTCGGTAATGGGACGCGCCAGCTTACGTATGCACTTGAGTATTCAAAACGGCATTACCCCCAAAAAGGGTGCAGATGAATTTCCCTATATCGACGTCGATTAAATTTTTTACCGCCTTTTATATTCTCTTAAAATTTCAATTTTTGAACATTTATACATAGTTACTTAAAAAATTTGTTATAAAAAAATGAGATTTCATAGCCTCCACGTTCACGTAGTACAGTTTGAAACGACTCGGTGCACCCAATTCGGAGAAAAGCTTTCATGAACGATTCATATCTCGGATGCCAAATTCACATCGCCTTAATTGCTGATTAGTCGCTGGGTTAAGAGCTTTCCAAGATGGCGGCATCGAAAGGGTTAACCTCCTTTCGGGACTCAATATTAAAGGAGGTAAATACGAGGGAGAAAGTGTCTTGTTCACCCGAGGAGGTGGTTCGAACACTCGGCTATCGTGTGCCCTGAAGAGTACCCAAGTGTAGAGTCTCTCCTCTCGAAATTCGAGAATAAACCGCAGCATTCACGGGCTGCGCCATAAAGGGCCGCCTCACCTAATCTCCACACACGAGTCGTGGCGCCACAGGCGCATATCGATACACATACCGAAGCACCTGAAATGGCGTCATACGCTAAGGAGACACAGCGCACACACTTGACACACATCCACCCACACCGTCACGGAGGAAATCTACGACGGTAAGACATTAATACCGACCAATCCACACAGGACGAAAATACCGTATCTGCGTAGAAAATGGCGGCAAGCATAAATATACCCGTACTCCGTAAAATGGGGAGGATTTACAAGGCCTTAAAGAAACCCCATAAAACCGCAGCTAATCCACCGCGAGTGTTTCTTTAGCGTTCCCAAGGGTCAATTAAGCAATAACGAAACAGCCGAGTTAACGATCAACGTTTATTAACAAACTGATTATATACAACGATAATTCCGTCATTAAGGGCGTTGTGCATGGCGAGCAGATTGTTCCCGCAGTGGTTGTCGAGATCCGTCTTCCGCCATAAGGAAACTCGGTAGAGTTTTGCGCCAAATATGCCCTTACATACGTTTTATATTTTGTTAACGGTCCCTTGGCTCGGTGTTTCACGAGGGATGCGTCGTTAAAGTGATATGAAAGTGCGACATGTACGTACCAAAAAGTTAACCTATGTATAAAACTTTTCTCCAAACTGGGTGCACCGAATTATCTGAAACTTTAACACGTGATTATGGGGGTTCGGAGGAAGAACGCGCTGCCCGCGAAATTTCATGTTTAAAAAAAAATATCTTCTTTTGGTTATTGTCGAAATGAATGGAAGATTTTTTTTCGAAAAATGAAACTTCACGAGCAGCGCATTCGTCCTTAGAGCCTCCATAATCACGTGTTAATGTTTCAGATAAATCTGTGCGCCGAGTTTGGAGGAAAGTTTCATAAACATTTTCACGTTCTTGGTACGTACATATCATACTTTCATATCACCTTAAGACGAACCCCTGCGTGAATGCGAGCGCATCACAGTGGTGCCACATTAAAACAAGTAAATACTTATTTCTGTGTGTGTGGTGGTGGAGTGTTCCATAGAAAATTCCCGGAATTGTGCACGGACGTGGTCCGAGCCATAATCATTTATATCAGTGGGGGTGTGGGGGCACCACTCACACACAGGGTGGCCACCCAAGCCATATGGCCAAGGAGTGTGGGATAACGGGGAAATGGGGAAGGTCCTAGGGTTGGCCCCCTGGCTGGGACGATGGACACGTGCAAGTGGCTCCGTTCGTTCGTGTTCGCGTATTTACACGCCGGCACAAATGGCGAAGGGGTAGAAACGAGCCCGATAAGGAAAGCACCCTAGATTTATGGTACATCTTCGGTGACTTAGGCGCTCGAGGTTGGCCATTGTGCGCCCCGAAGCTAGCTCGGAGTCGCCAGTCGATTCCCCTTGTCCTCTCGATCAGCACGATCTATCAGGGCGCGTTAGTAAACGTTTACTTAGGATGCGCCCCGCAATCACCTGTCCTTGCTGACGAGTCCTGTCGGTGCCATATTTGTCTCCGTGATGTAATTTGCACCGACACAACCTGCCCGCAAACCCTTGCATCCGAAAAGCAAGAAACAGCGAGAAGGATAGGTCATGAAGTAGTAAGTCTGAAATGTTCATGCGATAAATTTGCGACGGGATTCACCAATAAGCAGAAGACGAGATCACTCATACAGGATTTATTTCCAACGAACATAAAGGTACGCCTGCGGGTCAGATCGGTAAGGATATGGATCCCGGTCGGGAGAAATCATTAACCCTTTCGTTACCTTGGACGAGATATCTCGCGACCCAGTACTGGCCGATTAACCCTTTCGTTACCTTGGACGAGATATCTCGCGACCCAATACTGGCCGATTAACGCTTTTGACGAGATATCTCGCGACCCGATACTGGCCGATCAACGCTTTTGACGAGATATCTCGCGATCCGGTAGTAGCTGTATTTATTTCTTCCTTTTAGCTATACGAATAGAATTAGTTATAAATTATATTCATCTATAATGTCAAAATATTGGTGCTAGAAAGCTAGATTATCGTCAAAAGCGTTAATCCGTTACTACCGGATCGCGAGATATCTCGTCAAAAGCGTTGATCGGCCAGTATTGGGTCGCGAGATATCTCATCCAAGGTAACGAAAGGGTTAAAAGAAACTAGCGGCCCGTTATTCTGGTCCGCTTTAGTTCTGCCCTTTTTGCAGTCTTCGGTTCCCAGATCGGGATCAAAAGGAACTCAATTTTTGTTGACGCTATCGGCGGTCAGTTCAACGTAAACTAAAACTGTTCTTCGCGATCCAGGAGTGGTTCGACTCGGGATGAAATGTGACGCCCCCTCAGGGCGACGAAAGCTCACGGTCCTTGGTTAGCCCTTCCGCAGAAGCGCTAGGGATTAATACCGCGGCTACTCGGTCCCCGGACTTTGAGGGCTCGAGTTACAACGACCCTATACGGGAGTATGAAAAAAGAACAACAAAACAAAAAGCGTCGTCAGGTCGTTGATAGAATACTGGCAGAAAACTCCCAGGTGCGATAGGGAAATCTGGGGAAAATGGCGGCAGTCCCATTGTCGTCGCCCGATCATTCCAGGACCTAACGCGTATAATGAAATCGTTGCGATAATCATTCCGAGGCATAGGTATACCCCGCAGTGGATAAGCTGCAAATATACACCGCATGTCTATTTGCATGAGTCCGTGTGGATTGCACGCAATTGCCGCAGATCCAACGTATACAATCTGGAATCATGTCGATGTAAATATTCACAAAGCTGGAGCGGAGTCGGCGCGAAGGAGGGCAGCATAACCTCAAAGTTAGGCAGTAAAATGATTATGTAATGAAGTGCTCTCCGCGGGAAGTATTGATTTCAATTCCATGTTTTACCGTAGTTAATCAGTAAAGAATACTTCGCGATAAGAGTTTAAAAATTGATAGTAAAGCTTCTACCTGTGTAAACCCCTGTATTCACGTAAAGCCGCACACGAAAGTTTGTATACACGTATCAAGACTCGACTACACACAAAAGTAGAACCGCAGTAAATGTGTGCATTTGCACAAACCCGCGCTTTCAAAGAAGGAATTGCGGCGGTATAAACGAGCACGTTTATACCGACCAGATATGTGTTTAGCCATCTACTGCCGTTCGCATGTGAGGATGTACATACATATGCAAAGCAGTGCGTTCTGGCCAGGTGTGTTACACATATGTCTGCAGCGGTCACGCTCGCCGAAATCTCCATATAGGTGCAAATAAACAGAAATGGAGCGTGGTACGGAGGGATACCGAAAGAGGGAGAGTAGGAGGGAGCGAGTGGGAAGGACAGGCGAGATATGCAGAGGGACGAAGAGGGAAAGAGCCACGATAGCTCCCACAAATCGCTCGCTTGCGTCTGCCTGTTTGCTCAGTCGATAATCTGTTTCTCTTCGGGATTTGCGAGCAGGATAAACCGCGAGTCGCTTAAATGATGAAGGTGGCTGATGCGTATCATTTAGCAACAGCAACAGACGGCCCTGGATCAAAGCACTCTCAATGATCTCCACCGTAAAAAAAACTTCCAACTTTTAGTAAATATTAGATATTTCCGTAAAATAGTCCTTCATTAATTTAATAATAATTAAAAGATTACCATTAACAGAAGGAGATGAAGTAAGGTAGTACGATCCATGAGATTACTAGCGTCCTTAAATTCGATTTAATCATCGTATCCACCTTATCAGGTGGAAATTACAGTCTCTATGCGATGTACGCCATCGACACGTACTCGAGTACAAGTTAAGCATAAATTCATTAATCCTTGAGCTTTCTAAGAGGTGCACTCATGTAGGTAACTTGGAGTGGTGGGAAGGCAAGGGTAGAGGACGGGAACAATCCGCGTGCGTTCCGCAAGCTCCGGTTGAAACTCAAGGTAGGCTCTTGCTCGGTCGGTCGACATTATACTAATTTGAGGACGGCCTCGCTGACGACCCCTTTGAGGTCATAACTTCTGCCGCAAGCTCTGCCGATGTAGCGGCAACATTCTCCCCATACCCCGCTTTGCGCTTACCACCCTTGACGTCACCACCCCGAGCCGCGGAGAGACCACCGGCCAAGCGTGCGCGGACTTATATACCCGCGTCGCGCCGCCAAACCGTGCGCGTCGCCGACTGCGCAGGACTGGTGGGAGGCGCCGGCCGGGAGTGGGGGTACAAAACGTGTTAGCGCGGCACGTTACCCAAGTTCAGTGCGCGCTACAAGCTCGCCGCGGCTGGACGCTCGTGCTTTCGAGCCTCACGGAGCTTCGAGACCCGAGCGGGAAAGCGCGCGCGAAAAGTCTCCGCATAACGGACCGTTAACCGCGAAAGGAAACTCGTAGAAAAGAGCACTATTGTAGGTTTATCCTTGTTTGGAATTAATTGCAAGCTCAAGGGTCAGTAATCGTACATCGATCTCTGAGTTTTCTCCCTAGAAAAGGTGAGCTTCCGGTCTGGGTCGCGATTGGTTTCCCGGAGAGGCTTGGACTCGACGAGGGATTACGAAGTTGAGATTTACGAAGTTGGATCCCCTAGTGGAGGGGGTCGATTGTTTCGGTGGCCGGCGTCGACGCGAGGCTCGGAAAGCCGCCTCCGAGCGGGTTCTTCGAGGTAATCTCGAGAGAAACCGGGAGAACTCTCGAATCCCCGTAATTACACCTAAAAGAAAAGCTGCCAAAGTTGCGGAGAATCGAGAGCCGACGGAGTGATCACCTCGCGAGAGCTCCGCGCGGTCAGCTAGGAGGATATAGAGGAGGAGAAACGAAACGGGAGAAAGGAAGAGGATCGCCCGAGCAAATTGCTGACGTCAGCGAAGGGTCCCGAAAGACGTTTCCCATTGGAAGAGCACACAGCCGAGGAGGATAAGGGGGGAGGGGGGGAGTGAGGGAGGGATCAGCCGGGAGAAGCGGACGAAAGGAAGGAAGAAAAACAAACAAGAAGGAAGAAGGAGAAGGAAGATCGGCGCATCAAGTTCCCCTAAAAAAGAAACGGCGAGTGGAGGGGGATGAACGGCATCCCGTGAAAGCGGATCGCGACACCGAAACTCGATTAACTAATTACCAATTGGCTCTAATTAACAATTAATTACGCAGTCTCCAAGGGGGATTGGCTCTTCGTCGCGCCAATTAAAAATCACCGCCCCAACGGAAGTAGGCCGTCGGCGGCGCCATGACGGCGGGACGCGGCCAACTGAGAGACGCGATTGCCCACTTGTGACTCGGCTCGAGTCCTGGACCAATCGCAGTCTCTTCTTTCCTCTCCCGATCCGGAGATTCAACGAGCGACCCGGCTGTTGATAAAACACTCCGGGACTCCGAGTTGACTGATGCGCGGTCGGTTCGTGGCCGGGGACAAAACGGAGCACCACCTATTGGCGATTCCTCCCCGGAGCAGCAACAATGAACGAGATCTGACAGAGAGGGATCAGCTCGCTGCATCCGCTGGTTCTCGGGGACCACGCGAAAAGAAAGGGAACAACCCCCCCAAGATTCGCCACGGGTCTGGAACCATGCAGAAGTAGCGTCGCCTAGTCATCGTATCGTGCTGTTAACCCGACCCAATAAAAAAGCTCCGACAACAAACGATGTTAACCTTCTATCGACACCCGAAATTCTGTCTCGGCGTAGCTCGATTCTCCCAAAAAGAGGAACGCTAGAGCCACGGAATAGCTCCTCTTCTTGGGCACTCGTCGTTGGTCACTCCTCGGGAACAAAGCCGATTCGGTTAAGCCAAAGGAGCTTACGCGAAAGTCGTTACCACTGCGATTGTTTTATATCGCTAGTAACCCCCGACGGAAACAACGAACCTGGAAGCTTTTTACCCCTTAATTTGAAGGCGACCGAAGAACAAGGGAAACCAAGTACGCATCAACGTCATCATCGGTGATCGGTCGACCAGCACTCGACCGTTCGACACGTACATATTATTGTTTTGGAGAAGAGGAAGAGTGGGGTCGTGAATGTTTACCCTCGAGGTAGGCAAGCCGAAATTCTAGGATATACTCCAACACTTTGTCGTTGTTCGGATACTGTACGGGGGACCTTCGCGGGTCCTGGTGGTCCCAGGTGCCCAAATCTCAGGAGCCACCGACGGAGAATGGACTTGCCGATAAGCGGAGTTCCTTTTGCTCGGTTTATCTCGACGAGGCTCGGTGTTGAACGGCTATAAGATCGGACGACGGGCGTGAATCATCATGGACTGCCGGGAAGGGGTGTGAGGAACGAGACAACCAACCAGACCGAGACAGACTCTGAGAAAGCAAGGAAGATGTGCGTGCGCTCGCTGCTGCTCTTCGCGCTGGGCATTTTCGCGGTCATAAATGGTAAGTTTCCTATACGAGTCTTTTCCTATTGGCGCTCGAAACGGTCTTACGTGCGGCTTTTTACGGCGCGGCCAGAGGCCGCCTCGTCGCGTGTATTCCGAAGTATAATAAAAGCCCATAATAAAAAGCTCGCCCGACGACACGACGCCCAAGCGTGTTCGGCTGCGCTGCTTTGTTTCCCTTTGCTCTTTTTTTTTTTCCCCTTTACGCTTCCTCGTTGCGGAAGCGGACAGAATTCGCGGGAGTCGCGACCTTCCATCTTTTGTTGCAAGGTGGCCGGAAGTCCTTTTTTCAAGCCTCAATCCTCCTATTTCAAACACCTTGCAGATGACGTCCTCCTATCCCCCCCTAATGTGATCGAGAGCAATATTCGAGTTAAAACGATTATCAAGGATTAATTAATTCGCTTCATTATTGCCCCGTGCCATTACAATTATTTTCTCGAGAACAAAAATGGATATCGATTTAAACGACTTTTGTTTACTCAGTCTGGGGTTTCCTTGGATGTTCTTGATCGCGGGATTTTGTCGTCGCGATGCATGTTTCTTTTAATCAACCGACTGTTTTTTTTTTCCTTCGTATAGGGAAGGGAATAATTAATTTTCTAAAAACGGCGATTACTTGAGCATTAACGTTCACACCATAAATCGGGATTTTGTCGTCGCGATGCATGTTTCTTTGAATCAACCGACTTTTTTTTTCTCTTTATTTTTTCCTTCGTGTACCTAGATAGGGATTTTGAATTGTCGGTTTGAATCATTTTTCCAACGCGAAGTTTCAATAATTCGAGGTTAATTATAATTATGGAATTTCATGACAATCACAACATTCCTTTTCCTAATCCTTGAGGCGTTTTATTATCGGTTTTATCCTCTTCTGCAATGGGGAGGCTTGCAAAGTCTCGCGCCAAATATAAACAGTTCACGAATCGTTTGGGTTGGAATTTCCATATTGAACTATCCGCGGCGAATTCTGCAATTCCCGCATTTATAGACGGCCGCTAGGGAATAATTAATTTTCTAAAAACGGTGATTACTTAAGCATTAACCTTCACACCATAAATCGAGTCTTCGCCCGTTGGTCATTCCTTTCGTAGATTTTCTGCACCAGAATTTAAATTGACCCTACTACATTGTCAAGTAATGCAATTACGTATATGAATTAATACAAGACTTCGAAATTCAGAGTTGGCACTCGTTTAATCAGGCACTCATCGGGCATAATTTCGTTTAACAAATCCTTTGATACTTTTACGTTTCGCTCGCCGCATTAATTTTGAACGCCGTGTTTGCACCGCAGCGGAGGGAGAGGACGAGATCTCCGATTTGTTTTATAATTCCCCGGTTTAATATTTAACCGTGTGTAAATATTTTATTAATGCGCTGAATGTAAATTATCGGAACCGTGATTAACTGTAATACGAAATCGGGAAATAGGCGGATTGTCGGCCGAAAAGAACGCTCGTTAAGGCAAATGTGCAATTAACGAAAAAAAAAATAATAATAATAGAAACACGACTGAATTTGCAACGTTAATAACGTATACGACGCCGAGGTGCTACCTTGCGCTCGGGCGCATCGACGGGCCATCATTACGGTTAGGTTATGTTCGGGGACCTAACCTCGTCGTAACCTAACCTCTAACGTTTCGAGTCCAGATAGGAAAGGTTATGGGGGTGTATCGCTTGGCCGGTGCACGTCAATCAGCGCGAATTGAAGGCTCGAACCGAGGAACAATTTACTGGAAATGACTGACAGTGGTAGCACTCGGCTCTCGACGATAATGAACCCGGACAAATGTTCCGAACGTCCCCGGACGGCGCGGCCATTTTGGCAGAATTTTGAGGTTACCGCGGCCGCCGCGTATTTAGATTACGATTATTCGAATCGAGGCGTCCTTGTCGGAATTTAATGCCCTATTCCATGGATTCGCGTATTATTCGCGTTTCGGCCGTGCTCGATGTTTGTTACTGTTTGCGGTCAGCCAGAGTTTCGGAAGAATTGCTCTCCGGCGCGGGAGCTTGCAAAAGTAGAAATTGTTCGAAAAGTTATTTGATTATCAGAAATTTAAGCGCCATTGTAGGAATGTACGTCGAGGTATGTCGGAATTTGACGGTATATTTCATTGATTGGACGTCGTTCGCGTGCTCAATGTGTGAAAAGTAGTCGCGGAGAAAAAAAGCTCGCGAACATAAAAACTGCCGAGAAATTATTAGTTTATCAGAAACTTTAGTGCCAGGGCGGGAATTCGAAAGTACGCCCAATATATATCGGAATTTAACGTTCTGTTTCATGGATTGGACATCGTTCGCGTGCCCAATGTTTGAAAATTAGTCGTGGAAAAAGAAGCTTGCAAAGAAAAAAAAGTTGCCAAAAAATTATTAGCTTATCAGAAATTTTATTATTTGCGGGAATCCGAAAGTACGCCGAGTATGTATTGGAATTTAATGGTATATTTCATGGATTGGACGTCGTTTGCAGGGTCAATGTTTAAAAATTGGACGTGGGAGAAAAAGCTCGCGAACATAAAAATTACCAAGAAAATATTAGCTTATCAGAAATTGTAGTACTTGCGGGAATTCGAAGGTACGCCGAGTATATATCGGAATTTAACGTTCTGTTTCATGGATTGGACGTCATTCGCATGCCCAATGTTTGAAAATTAGTCGTGGAAAAAAAAGCTTGCAAAGAAAAAAGAATTGCCGAAAAATTATTAACTTATCAGAAATTTATCACTTGCGGGAACCCGAAGGTACGCCGAGTATGTATCGGAATTTAATGGTGTATTTCATGGATTGGACGTTATTCCCGTTCCGATCGTGTTCGATGTTTGAAAGGTGTTTCCGAAAAAGAGTTTACTCACGTAAAAATTGCTGGACAATTATTAAATTATTAGGCAAATTAATGGCATTGTAGGAATTCAAGGGTATACCATTAGCGACGGAGTGTGCTGGACAACCGACAGGGCGAAGTGTTTAAATAATAACCCACGGCCCTTGTTTATGTATAATTTGTCCACGTGGGTCTGCACTGCACAAGTGTATCGCCTCGATGGCACTCGTCAATCAGGCCAAATTGAAGGCTCGAATTGTGCCGAATAACAATTTACTGGAAATGACTGGCAGTCGTACCACCCGCTCTCGACGATAATGAATCGGGATAAATGCTTCCAGCATCCTCGCTCTCGGTCGACGGTTTGACAGGATTTTGAGGTCCTCCAAGCGTTCGTTCCTCGCAAGTAAATATTTCAGAGGGTAAATGAAATTGTGAAAATCGTAGCCATTGCCTGTCCAAGATGAAATGGGTAATAACAAATTGTCTAAAATGGTCGGCTCCATTCTGGAACCTCCAGCATCGTCGTAAACAATAAACAGAAGCTGGTAAACAAATTATGGACAAGTAATATATAAGAGCAAGGAAAGTCAAGTGGCACCGTTTTGCGTCAAGTCGTTATCGTTATCGCAGAGCGCAGGAGTGGGATCGATGGACTGTTTTCGACCGAGCTGCTGATTAATTGTAATCAAAGAGCAAAGTCTACGCTATCGGCTCTGGGGAAAGCCGGCCATCGTCGAGAAGTTCCCCAGGGATTCTCTGCGCGTGGGAGACTGTTACCGAATTGGGATTAATATTAATTAAGGGGTGATATGCAGTTGTCATTGGCGAAATTCAAGAATCTTCTTTTCGTAACTAAAATGCATTTTTTACTCGAAAACGGAGCGTAAGAAAAATCATATATCAAGTTCGATAACTGTACCATGAAATCACTCTCTGTTTTAGGATTAAAAAAAAAATGCATTTCAGTTAACTGCATATGACCCCTTAATGATCTTAGCCAATTTGTGGAAACCGACTCGATGAGGCGTATTAGTTTCACAAATCGTTCTCTCGAGCGACTGCAAGCTAAACCACCGGCGAACTTCGTCAGCTGTCGGAAGTTTGCCGAAAATTTCCATCCGATTTTCTACGGGGAGTATATAGAAGCGAGTTAGATCCAGTCTGGCAATATGGCGCCGGGAGATCGGTCGTTCTGCGGGAAAAGAAAGGGAAATACTTTCCCGGGCAGCGGGAAATCGAAGCGCCGAGTCGGACACCCTCTCTCGGGGTGGTTTCCACGGCAGGGTGAGCGCCGGAACGCGGAAATCGCTCAAACCGCGCGGAAATTTTCCGCAGCATGGCACCTCGGGGCTGCGTGCCTTGCGGAATCTTACGAGTATCATAAGTCCCCAGGAAAAGTGGCGGGGAGGACGTTAGAAGGGCCCATATGTGGCCATAGTTAAATTTCATTCGCTCCTCGACGCGGAAATTCCGCGCCGGATGTGCCGCGGTTAATAAAGTCCCGGGAGCGTCGCTTCCGCGGCGCGAGGTGATACTTCCTCGTCTTACTTTCCTCGCCGGTTCTCCGGATACCGCGTAATTCCTCGTCCCTCGAACCTTCTCGCGGGTTTACGGAATCCTCCTGATTTTCCTTTTCCCTCCACTCGCGCAATAAAGTCCTTCGCCGAACTTTCCGCGCGGAAAGTTACTAGATTTGCGGGGGAGACATATCGCCCGGAAGGGGAGGTGCGAGTTGACTAATTATGGCAATTGAAGTGAAACTTTGCCCTGGCCGTTTTAATTTCGGGACTTTTGTCATCGGTGGGTGGGGGGATGGGGTGGGGAGGAAAAAAAAACGGGAATTACAGACGGTCTAGGATAATAAGGGGAGAGGAGAAAGGACCAGGGCGGATGAGTACGTGACTAGAATAGGGCCGGAAGTCCGAATTACTTCGACAAACTTCCTGGTGATGGCGCAACCGTCTGATAGACGCGCCATCAGGTTGGCAGCCATGAAAATTGCACGGAAGTTTTCCCTCCCTGGGAATTCGCCGTTTCTTTGTCCAACTTTCGAGTTTCTTTGACGCCCTTCTTCGACGGGCTTGCTCGCGGATTTTCTTTTTCTTTAAACCTTTCTTTCCTTTTTTTTTTATTCCCACCCCTCCCAGACATTTACCTTTTGCACCG